AACAGAACCAGAACTAGATAACAAATCTGATGATTTTTATAATAAGAAACGTCATATGTACTACTGCTCACTTGTGTCAATTGCTCAAGAGACTCAGCTAACAATCACTGCCGCTTCTTTCGCATACTGTACATATGGCATGAACTTAATGAGCACAACAATAAATACCAAAAATAAGTTAAAATGTGTTAGTTTTAAACTAAAAAAAAAAAAAAATGCTAAAAGATAAGATGTATGTGCGTGACCTAGTAACTATCTCCTGCCATTTACTGTCACTGTCAGGACCTATTTTATAGTAAAACGATATAATTTCATTAATTTACTTCAAACAGGTAACATATCAATGCATACATTTTTGGTGTTAATATTTGTTTTGCGTGGTAACCATTAGGCATATATATTACTTTTAGTTCTTCACTAAGCGTTGTTGGATCTCCCAATCTATGAAAGATGTGTTGTCTTTGGCAGAGTTTTATTGAGATATAGAGACGGATTTCCAAGGATCAGGAAATGACACTAGAGCCAAACTCAACTCTAACTACCAAGCCACGGATCCAGCAACATCCCAGCAGGAGAGCAGAAGAGAGAGAAGGAATCCAATGTATTGATGCAAAACATAAAGGTTAGAAAAAATACTTTTCTGCAGGCAAATGACATGACTCATGCATGATAGAATATATGTATTTATCTCATGTTCTTTTAAAAGCCCAGCACAGCCAGTCAGAGTTTTTAGAGAGGAACTCTCATGTGGGCATGACAATTTGAGATAAATGTCACCAAATGATTACACTTCAGCTGATATATGACAACAGTCTCAGTCTGAGACAGCACACTTACAGACACCCACAGTCTGTTTACTGACTGTCTGAAGCATAGCTGACAAAAAGTTCCAGTCTGACTATGCAGTTTATGAGAATAAGATAATCAGAGTTTAGTTTGAGTCGATCTAGATGACCATAATCAGAACTGTATGTTCCTATTTGTTCTGTCTGTGAAGTAATTTAGATGGACAGAAGAGTTTAAACATTATTTTCCACATTTTTTTATTTTTGTTTTTGTTTTTAGTGGTCACTTCCTGTGGGAGGTTCTTCGTAAGTCAAAAAAACTGAATTAGCTGAGATTGCAACATTATATGTTGTTGATAATTATCATTGTTTGTCTGTGGTATTGTGCTCGGTAGCTCTGCCCACTGTGAAATCTCATTGGTCCAAAATCTTGCTCTACCTAACTTCATTTTATATCAGATATGTTTGGATTAGCTTTGATTGTGTTGCATCTTGCAGCAGTCGTCGCATCACGCCTGATTGAGGTGCAATGATCGGCCTCGACAGGCACACACATAGATGGGGAACCCTTTCTCAGTATGAACCTCTGTCTCTTTTACTCGATCTCGTTTGCTTTCTTCTCATTCACTTTCTCTCAGGAGATCAAAAAGTCCTTTTGCTGTATTGAGTTTTTGGAGCTCTCTCTTCACCTTTCAGTATTGGCCTCAGTTCATTCTGGACTGAATGAGCCACCAAGTGAGACTTTGATAGTGTCTCTTGTGAGATATTGGATTTTCTTCTAAGAAAACTACATTTTGTCAGTGTACAAAAGTACAATAAAAGCTGATCAGCTTTGGATTTTGTGTGCATTTGTTGTTTGTTATTTGAGAGTATGTAGCTCTTGATAGAAACTTGAATGGTGAGCTCTATTAAAGTTGTATCCAGTACTTTTCAAGTTTCGCTGGCTTATATGGCAGTAATTTTCCTACACTTTATCTTTGAAACAATTTTCAATCAGAAATTGCAAGTAAATTTCACAAATACTTAAAAAAATGGCAAGTAATACATAACCATGAAATAAACATGACATTTTGAAATAGAAAACAAACAATATTTTCTTTAAAACCGTACTCTAATAGTTTTTGTGTTTTATTAAAGGGGTCCTATTATGCTCTTTTACAAAGTCTTGATTTTGTTTTAGGGGTGTCCTAGAACAGGCAAGATACTAGGTTGTTCGAAAAACATTATTTTTCACATATTTTACATTATTACAACACCTCTCTCCCCAGTCTGGCATTAACGGCTCGAATAGTTCCTGTATCAAATGAAGACCTGCCTTCTGAAATACGAAATGTGCTGTGATTGGTTAGCTGGGCCAGTGTGTGTTGTGATTGGTTAGCTGGGTCAGTGTGTGCTGTGATTGGTTAGCTGTGTCAGTGTGTGCTGTGATTGGCACCACTCTGCGCCTGGTCGGGAAATGACATGCCCCTTACCATTGCGAGCTTCAGTGTAAATATTGCATCAAAATCAAATAAATTTGAGCGCGATTTAAACCCGGATGATTGTAACCACTCTAAGTTCGTCTGCCTTGGGAAAGCTAGCGTTTTGTGATATCACAAATCCCGGAAAATATGCGTTGTAGTCCAAACGAGTCGTGCGTTGTAGTTTTTGAAAAGTGATTTCTGTTAAATAAAATATCTCCTTTTGAATTGGACTTTGAGCTTTGCAACTTTGCAGATCTTTTTTATGCTCAAACAGCAACATTACAGACTAACTAAAGTTGAAAAAGCATAATATGACCCCTTTTATTAATAACTTCGAAAAATCTTTTATTTATTTTTATTTTTTAACAGTGTAGCAAGTGAATGTACAATCCAAACATTTTTAGTTACCAATACCATTGTAGAAATAAATCATTTGCAGTCAGCACAATTCATATGAGCAATTTTTTTAAGATGGTTACTGAGATTTCAAATTTTAATTCACATGACTGTTTGTATTCATTGTAGGCATTGCAGGCCTTTTCTACTTGTTTGCAGAATATTCTGTACTATTTTGATACAATTCAGTTTACAGGCTAAGGAATACCCAGCGATGATATTACTGCATGGTGCATATTGACTGAACTCCAGTTTAAATTTCAACATTTTTACCTTTGTGCTCTGTAAATGGGAAAATATACGCTCAAACAGAATGTGAGCGGCCCCCGCTTCAGCCGGTGCAGTGCTATTGATGAGATTTCAGGTCAGGCTGACAAATCCATTTCATCAAAGGTCAAAATGGCAAATATAGTTCAGACATGGGCAACGCAGATGGAAGGCGGACTTTTATTCCCAGACATCAAACTTGACGAAGGCAGACCTTGTGTGTTGAGTCTGGTTTGCTTGCTGCCTTGTTGCACCAAAATAAAGTCCTTTAGAATGTGTAAATGAAGATGTGAGAAACAATAGCTACTCTCAAAGCAGCAGAATACTGGTTTAGAGTGATAAATCAATACATTAATGCACAGTTTGGTTAAAAACAAGACCACATTCTGTAACTAAACTGACATAAAATTTGCATGTGGATTTTGAGAGTACAGATAAACAGAACAATATCAGTAAATACGGTTGTCGATCCCGACCACCGACTGTGTGAATGTAGGAAAAGACTGATAGGAACATTCTGTGGACACAGAAATGAGAAGTTGTCCTTTTCTTTAGACAAATGGAATGAGATATTGGGTTTTTTACACCCAGTGCTCAACCTTTCATTACTTTGCCAGTTCTGCCACGTGCACTGGTGCGTATACTGATAAAATTCTCTCAAGCTTCAGTGTTTGGCAGAGTGAAAAAAGGTTGACTTGCACCAGGCAATTTTCCTGTATTTTGTATTCCTTTTATTTTAAGAATACTGCCGGTCCCTGCTGATGAAAAGCAGCTCCTCAGCATGACGCCTGTTCACCGCCCCATACTTCCCTGCAGCAATACTTCATTATAAGTATGATTTTAGATTTGTTGCTTACATATCACTTTGAAATTTTGCTCAAACGCAGCATTCCGGTCTCAAATGACCACAAAAATCTTCTCCCGCAACTGACTTCCAAGCATTTTTGGAAACTCCAGACATGTTTTCATAGCTCTTTCTGAGTAATGGCCTCATTTGTGTCACCCTCCCATGTGGTTTTTCTCATTTTCTCATCCTCCCTCTTTGTGCGCACAGATTTTTGAGGGATGACCTTGTCTAGTCAATCTGGATGGTTTGATGTCGCTTCTACTTCCTGATAATTGCACCAATATTATGCAGTAGGATATCCAAACATTTTTTCATATTCTTTTGCTTAAATTAGGAATTTACTTTGCTATCTGCAACTTTTTTGGATGCTTAATGGAATGTTTCGATTCAAGTTAAAATTTCAAGTTGCATTCTTGAGTTATTGATTTGAACTCTGCCAGATTTGTGAAATGAATCAACTGGTCCATTGAAAAGAATCATCTCAAAAGAACAGTTTGTTTGACAATTCAGTTCAGTGAGTTCAACTCACTGGCTCTGTGAGCTGGCAGTGGGTCCGGAGTCAAACGGTTCTATGAAGGGGAACAGTATTAGTGAATAACGATTTAAATTTCAGGCTGTTTCTCAAACAAAGCTATTGCATGTTTTTGAAAACCTGAAATATAGCACACAAATCACATGTGTCACGCTACTGCTGTTAGGGAGACAAAGGCACACCAAAGATTAAAACCGCAAATCCTTTTAATGGTATAACACACAAGGCAACATCAACAATACCGGACCAAATAGAACTGAACAGACTACAACTAAAGTAGGGTAGCTAACGAGGGACAGACAGGTGAGGAAGATCAACTAATATGGACACAGGTGAACTGACTAACATAATCAAGCACGAGGGAAACAGGCTGTTTCTCAAACAAAGCTATTGCATGTTTTTGAAAACCTGAAATATAGCACACAAATCACATGTGTCACGCTACTGCTGTTAGGGAGACAAAGGCACACCAAAGATTAAAACCACAAATCCTTTTAATGGTAATCCACATGGAGAGGATGGTATAACACACAAGGCAACATCAACAATACCGGACCAAATAGAACTGAACAGACTACAACTAAAGTAGGGTAGCTAACGAGGGACAGACAGGTGAGGAAGATCAACTAATATGGACACAGGTGAACTGACTAACATAATCAAGCACGAGGGAAAACCTGGGTCACACAGAGCACATGGGGAAAGAAAACACAAAAAACGTCCATGTGTGTGATAATATGGACTGCTTTCAGTGTGCTTTTTGGTCATTTTTGGAGCTCAACAGATGTGATTACTATGAGCTGTTGTATATGCATGTAGACCTTTTGTGTTCGGTTTGGAATGACATGGGGTAAGTAATTAGTGACCAAATTTTCCACATTTTACTTTTTTTTTTGGTGAATTGTCCCTTTAAGCTCTGTAAAAGATGCTATTGCTCAAAGTTAGAAATTGTCAAATGAAAAACAATCTTTATCACCTGTACGGAGATAAAGTATGCATAAATGAGTGGATATCATAACAGTTCTAGCCACAGGAGGGCAATGATGGCTCATGCTAAGCTTTTACCTCCAGGCCAAGAACAAGCGATTGGAAGAATGCACTGTTTTTTTTAAGCATTTGTGTGTGATCACAAATGCGATATTATGAGTGTCTGTCTCTGTGCGTCACTGGCCTCTCAAGCAAGAGTTTTAGCACTGCTGTGAAAAGCTCCTCAACACATCACTCACATTTAGGGCTCCTACAGTCACGGAACCTTGGAAGCAGCAGGACTAAAACACACTGCAGAGAGACACTGATATCTCAGGAGCCACAGAGGTAAGCAGCATCCACTGTTAAGTAATGACAATTCTCAACTGTGCACCAATAGCAGCAGTTTCAGGCCTTTTGCAGCCTGCTGATGAACTGAGCTCAAGAGTTGTTGCCACAAAACCAATAAACATTTGAATTCCAAAGAAATGTTTTGACACTTCCTTTAGTGCAATAATGACCTTCCACTGATAAAACCCGAATTGTAATCCTAATTGTGGACCATGCTGTCAAACTATATGGGGCAGTGTTGTAGTAGTTGAGATCAGCTCATTTGAGGCCTGATGAGGGTTGAGACCGAGTCAAGATCGAGAAAAAAAATGCTTCAGAGACCACAATGTGAAAATATGGACACACACTTTAGACTGGGTCTGGTCTCGAGTATGACAAAACTGATATGGGATAAATTGTCATATTGTGAAGCTTTTCAGCCAAACTTAAACAGTGTAAACATTTTTTTTTTCTGATGAAAAATTGTGCTTTTCGATTTAAAATGTGATTTAAGAAAAGCTTTGAGTTTACTCTGCATGTAGGTACAATTTCTTAAATTCTTAAAAAAAATCTTCTTTTTGAATTTTTTATTAATATTAATTCAATAATTAATATTTTAATATGTAATTAATATTTATTTATAAAGTGTAATTTGTATTTAAGAAAAATATGATGTAAAAAAATAATAGCAATTTTATTTCACAGTACTACTGTAAACTTACAATGTTAATATTTATGGCTGTCTTAATTTCTTCATTGTCAAACATTAAACCATCAAGCTTTTAGTTTTTCAAGCTCATGCTCATAATATTATTATTATTATTGTTTTTTTTTTTGGTATCACTACTTGACAACAGTATTTCTTGTGCTTGTTCATTCCCTTTATTTTTAAATGTTACATTTAAAATTACCTTTGCTGTCATGTAAAATATTTAATCTTTAAAAACAGTAAAAAAATGCAATGAAAGATTTAAATGTAATCTTTACCTAATCTCAAAACCATTATCCATTTTAATGATGTGATACTTCGGTTTACTTTGTAGTAAAATATGCAATTGTAACAACGAATATCAATTTGTTATTGCCATAACAGAAAAATAATTATTGATTTATTGTGTCCCTTACTTTGCCCTGACAGCATAGTTCAACGTCCGGTGTAGGCCTACATTGTATTTTTGGGTTCAAATTCTGGTTTGCACTAGCATCAGCGGCAATCGTGTGACAGCCAGCCCTATGCAAAAGTTAATTTGTCTTTGCTTTTTTAACAGAGTCCACAAAACCAACAAAAGGAATACAATCCCTGTGCTTATCTGCTGTAGAAAACACAAAGCTGAAATAAATCCCATCCCAGTCCCTCTGGGATCAGTTGTTTGTGTCCCACAGCATTAGCATTTGATGCTGTGCTGTTGATATCTTTGTTTGAGCGTCTACACATGCTGATGGTGTGCAGGTTCTCCGTTAAAGGTTATTCTGTTTGTCAGACACATGCATTCCGGACTCATGCTGTCCTGTCCACTGACTCAGCCACACCTTTCCAGCCTCAATGTCGATAAGTCGATAGCATCGGGCCGTGGTGCAATTAAGACATTATTAAACTGTTCATCAGGCCCTTCTGAACTCCAGACTCACCCGCGGCCTCCCAGCGGTCCCTCCTCAGTGAAATCCCCAGTCTGTCTGTGAAACCTTGGCTGTGCTCCACACATCTGTGACCCTCTGTAACCCTGCGCGTCTCCTCTCGTCAGGCTGTGCCCGTCGGGTGTGGAAGTGCCAGGGTAAGTGAATGAGGATCTGACAGCTGTAGAAGGGTAGTCATGTGGGCAGGCAGAGCTCATCTGCCATCACTGAGGGGTGAAAATGTGGCCTGGTGAACCCTTGAGATTATCTAGAGCGCTCAGCCAATCGCTCGCTTCTGAGAAAAGGGCTTTGGGTACACGCCTAGGCTCATTACTACCGGTTATGGTGATTTTAATGATCTTTAGTATCACTTGCCTCTTTATAAGGAAATGGACATTAGGCATGACACTGACCTCTCTATACATATGTTTTTTTTTGTTTTTTTTTTAAGGTTTTAGTAATTTTGTTGTGTTTTTGTCATGTTTATTAGTCATTGTTTTATCGATGTAGATTTTATTTTATTTTTCATAGTTATTTTAGTAAATAAAGGTAAACTAAATTAAAATGAGAAATACTGCTTCGGCAACTCACTGAAATCACATATGTTTGATTTAATTAAATGTCATGTTTATTTAAATTTCTGTTTTAGTTAACTATAATAACCTTGCTCTATCCTGCCACAAAACATTCTCATTATTCAAAAAACAAAGTAAAAAAAACAGCATTTTTTAAACCAAAAAAGCATTCTGTGTGAACCCCTTAATCTTCATCATTCTTAATCATGCTATTCCTGAGAGCAATATGGCAGTGCAACATTACTTGTTGAACTTACACTATAATATTTTTTTAAAGTAATTAATTAATAACTTATAACAGAGCGCAACAAATTGTTCTTTCAGTTCAGATGAACTAGTTGTTCTGAAAAGTTCATGTTGGCAGATAAAACTGTGAACCACTTAAAAAAACAGGGATCCTTTTCACCAATTCTGATCTGAGCCACTAGTCCAAGTTCTTAAGCTCTTCAATTGAGACAATATAAACACTTTAACGTAGGGCTCCACAATTAATCGGAATTAAATCGCAAAGGCGATAAATCGCGATTAGGCAAAAGCTGCGATTGTCATGCGTATCTTTCAGTGAAGCATGGTTCTTTGATCAGCAGTAAATCTCCATCCGAAGGCCAGAGGGCGCTCTCGCGCTGAAACTCCAAATATGCCTCGCAGAAGAAACCCAGGAAATCCCTATAGCGGTTGCAAAATAAACAGAAGATTTACCTGCTTTCATTAATTCAACATGACTAATAAATACATGGCTATGGCAATATATGGTTTATCTGAGTTCGTCTTATTTAATTTTTATTATAATAAAGTATATAATAATGCAATGCTAATCGACAAAGCCTTTATCACTGCTTAGAATACTATACATATACAGTATGTTGCGTGCCTTATTCTGTGCAAGAAGCCACATCATCTCACAGAAAGATATATTTCAAACACTCGACTAACGTTATGAAGTGAGTTTGGAGTAAAAACATGTTATTAAATGTGGTGCTTTTCAATAACGCACGTGCTTTCAGATGGAACAGCATTTACTACACAGAGCCGTAGTTTAAGGTTAAATGAATGTAACATTTATGAACATAAAACCCTGACATTTTCACAATCATAAACATAAAGTTGTGACAAATATGTTTTTGTTTTTAATTAAAAAATAAATAAAATTACATTTGGGTATGTGTTGCGTTGTTTATTTCCCTACCTGATCTCATGACAAAAACAAATTTTTCACAAGACTCAAAATATTGGTAAGCGAAGTACCAATAAGTACATATCACTGCAGTTTCCAACAGAAATGAACACTAGAGGCAGTAAAACAGTGAGCACGTGTAATCGTTTTCATACACTGTTATGATTTCAGCTCCTTTTTTTCGCTTTCCTGACGTAACAAGCTTTCTCGGTAGCTCAGCCGGCATGGAACTGGACTTATGGCGTGGAATCCTGGGGTACAAATCATGTGGAAAACATGACTCACGATGAAAGAGCTGAAAGATTAGAGATCGAAAAACAAGCTAAAACGGCATGCTTGCAATTGCATTTTTATGTCACATTCGCTTTTGTTCGTACTATCGGTTAGGTTTCGGTGTAGTGCAGATGGTACGTTATTTTAAAACGTCACTGAGCATTAGACTTATAGCACCACTCAACGGACATATAAAGTCACATAAAACGTACCATATGTACGTTCATCTGTTCCAGAAAAAATAAAAAAAGAACACTCTTTAAGCAGCACTCAGTGGACATTTCACTTCGAATGTCACAAAACGTACATGGCGGTATGTATTTCATATCTTGTGAAAAATTCCCACAGGTACGTTTTCGTCTTGAGATCAGGTTGTTATTTCCACAAAAAAGTGATGATGCAATGTAAGTAGTTTGTATAGTCAGTGCCTACTCAAAAAACATATTTGGCGATACAAAAGCAAAACAGATATGAGATATGAATTGAAACAGTGGAAATCACTCATTTGTTTTGACTCGAGAAAAACAAAAAAATCAGGGGGAAGCAGTGTCTTTTTGCCTCCTTTGAGCTCATTGCATTTTCATGGTTTTGGTCACGTCTGAATTGAAATGAACAACAATTTTATGAGCGAGCCATTTTTATAGATGGCTTACAGTCCCAACTAAGTGTTAGTTGTGTTCCACATAAGCTGGAAACCGTGCAAACGTCAAATGAAACTGTGTTATGAGTTTACATTGGACTATCAAAAACATGGCACTGTTTTCTCTGTATATGTGCACATTCTTAATTATTTACTCATACGCTCACACACAAAACTCTTCCAGCAACCATCATAAACTTCAATCAAGGCACCATGGAGCTGTTGTGTGAATGTCACGCTGTGATAAACACATCTACGCTACAATAACTTTTTATTTGTTTTCTTGCAGCATCTCAGACTTTCAATCATAGTGGTGTTCAGAGAAGATGATTATGATAAAGGGAGGTAGGATTTCTTCCACATCACAAAGGTACTAAAAGGAGGGGTAATTTAAGAGTAATTTAGCCTTTGTCTTGGATGTGTTGTGTTCAAAAACTTCAGAAGACCTTGCAGCTCGGATCCAAAACGATGTTATTATTGATTTGACTTGTCAATTCCCACTTCAGTGTTGAAGTTGAGAGAATCTAAAGGCCTGTTTTGATCACCTCTGATGTGACAGTTCCATCCTGCTGGTCTTATTATCAGCATTTTCTTTGTTGTTTGTCATAATCATTGAGCCAAAGTGTTCCTGAAGTGTGTCACTTCTAGACTCACACAAATCATGGCGTTCATGAAAGGATCCCCTGCCTCTGAAATTTCATTTCACTCTTCAAGTAAAAAAGCAATTTAGAGAAGCCAACCTTTTGAAAGAAGCTTTCTTAGTTGAAGTGCAAACCTTAATTAGCAAATGATAATTGTATGCGGCACACTTTCCTTTGCAATCTGAAACTCGGCTCTGGAATTCTTCCTCATGGAAATTGCAAACGTCCTCCCCTACCCACTCGCCACCGACATTTACGAAATGTCAATACATTCACAAACGCCAAATTACAAGCAAATCCAGTTGAAGAGCTGCTTGTTACGTCAATGGTTGCAGTTGATTAAGAGGACAATATTTCTGTGTCCAGAGTGTTCTTAATGTACTGCGCCTCAATATTAAAGGGGTCATATGATGCGATTTCAAGTTTTCCTTTTCCCCTCTTTTATAAGGTTTCATGTATGAGGACCTACTTTTTCTCAAAACCATCACGATTCTTATTCTCGGTCTCTCTCTTTCACTTCTGTTGTAACTTCTGTACTTCTCTAGTTTGTTTTTAAATTAGCATTGCGATGCTGTGAATTTTGTTGACTCTTGATGAATTGCTTGTGATGTTTCTCATCTAAGTCAGTTGGGATAAAATTGCCTGCCAAATGATTACATTTAAATAACCATTAGGCCACAACTTCATCATCTTTCATTTATATTTCATTTTTTATGATGTCAGCAATGTTATATAGGCTATACACCGCAAATTTGTTATTTTGTAAATAGACAAGCTTATTGGAGTATGTTTTCCAAGAAAACACAATTTTAGTTTTTTTTACTTCAAAATTGATCTTGTATTTCAAAGTGGTACCTGCTGTTTCTTTGTAATTAATTTGAGAAATTTACAAGCAATTTTAGTTGTTTTAGTTGGATTTGGGCTAATATTTTCTGTCACAACTATGTAAACTGCATCACAATTTTTTTAAATGTATTTTAGATGATTTTAATCATATTACCTTCAGTCCTATTATAAGTTATTAACAATAGTGTTCTCTCAATTAATTCTTAATCATATCTAGCATTAATAAATAAAGTAATTGTTAAGAAACATTTATTTTTAAATATTTGACAGTACACATTATTTTATTTCTGTCTGAAGATGTTACAGATGTCTAGCACTTATAGAGGAATAAATGAAGAACATGTTTAACCAATTAATCCAAAATAATTAATTTGTGCATAAATTCTTAGTTATTCAGTTCTTTAGCCTGTTTTGTCTCTGTAAGAATCAATGCTTGTCAAGCGACACGTTATTGAAAATGTAATTATTTAAATTTCAATTTTTTTCTGCTCTAAAAATGGCTTTTCGTTTACCTTCAAAAAAGTATCGATTTAATTTAGAGTTCTAATTTCAGATGTCAAGCACAATGTATCATTATATTCTTGAAAATGTCTCGTGAATCAATTTGACAATGAATCACTGGCAGAATGGGATCAGCTCAATACGGTCCCCTCCAAACTCATCAAAACGATTACAATCATGATGTTTCATAACATCATAATGATTGTCTGTGGTTCCAGGCCCGGTGGAGGATTATTGCAGAAGGAATTAAGGTTCATGAGAGTTTTCCTGCGTCACCTGTCTAAATTAGACACACACGGGCAGGTTATTAACAGTCTAATGTTGGAAGCTAATGTTTGATCAATCACACTGTCTATAGTGTGAGTTAGGTCAACATTACCGAAGCAAACAAGAGAAAACCTTAAACTAAGGAAAGGTCATCAGATCAATAATCCATTTAAGATGCTCTGTTGGATTCCGACGGCCGACTGCCAGCAATCAAGAGTGAAGGGTTTTATCTGTGCCCAACATTTAATCCTCAGTCCTGAGGACGCTAGTGACTAAGACATTCGATTTTCACTGCCCCCTTAAAACCAAGACCCATTGTGGAAAAAAGTGATGTTGCCTGTTATAACTCTGAACTGGATGGAGTTGCGATGGAAGACAACCGTTGCAATTCTAAATGGGGGAATAACTGCTGATTCTTTTCCAAGAGGCTGACAATGGAGGCACTAAA